CTGATCAGCTGATCGATGATCCTCGCACTTCAGCTATCTAAAAAGCTGGGAAACTTTGTCGGTAATGATGGATACAGTTCTCTCATGGGAAATACCAGCTCCCACAATGATAACAACATGAGTGTTATCAGGTCTGATCAGCTATAGTTCTGGGTGTTTTTTTGCAGAAAACAAGCAGCTCGAATGTTGGATCTTGTGTGGTGGCTCAGTATAGTCCAGCAAAAATCGCGGTAACATCAACCGTGTGTTCTCGTCGAACGCCACTATGGATACATAGTAAAGTTAGTCGTCTCTCGTCATCACCCGAGGTCCAGCGAAGTTTAACAAAGGAGGTGTCTTTAAGAAATAAAGAGCATGGATTTGTGGACGTTGAAGCGGCGTCTCATAACTTGGGTAGTTACTGAAGAGAAACGATGGTTCGGCCTCAGTCGTGTTTATGTATTTGGCGAATGGCTTGATATAAATAGACCAACAACCGTTCCGTTGTAGCACCCCTTCTGGTGCCATGCCACCAGAAGGAAGCACGAGGGCTCGGATACTGTCAGGCTGCCCAAGCATACGCAGGGGAAGTCGAGAGGCAGAGGTCGGGTTCGAACCATGGACCTTCCGGTCAGTAAATTCGAGCTCAGACCGCTGAGTCATCTCGCCTTGTATTGCCCATTCGGTGCCTAACTGACACGCCACCTGAAGGAACCACGAGGGCCGAGATATTGTCAGATTCCTGAAAGCCGAACACTAACAATCGAGATGCCGGGGTGCTTTCTAACCGCGGACCTTCTGGTCAGTAAGTTCGCGCCTTCACCACCGAGCCATCTCGAGCTCCACTGTGAAATCTGGCTTGCGCCCTGTCTGGTTCTGGGTATCTGCAAGAGTTGATTTGGATCTAACCTCTCCGTTCTCTGATTCATTGATTGGCTCACTGCTCGGCTCAAGCTTGATTTCAGTGTTTGACTGCCTCACTGTCATACCCAGTGTTTCCAGCTTCAGGTGCCTCTCGAGTGCTTCCTTTTTTATCTTCGTTTGCTCTAATGTTGGAAGTTGTTCTTTCAAAGACACAACGTTTAAGACAAGACCCAACAGTTCCCTGAGCGGCATTTCTCCAGGCTAACATGAACCATTCAAATCTATCTAGAATCGAAACCTACGAAATCGGTAATACTATTATTCCTTCTCCGCTTAGATGATCACTCCTGAGATGACGCTTGTATTTTAGAAGTATTTATTGTTCGCAGTCGGGAAATTGTCCTTGAGAGGTTGAGGCGAAAGCGCCCCCAGTGGCGCTCGTGCATCAAAGCTATTGCCTTCAATGCATAGCTCCTTTTCCAACCCCTCCCCCCCCTTGACAGCCCACTGTACCTATCCCCACTCCCGAAAAAAACATCAGTGAACGCTGCTCTTGGTCCTCCCCTAAACATCGGTGAACGAAACTGCGGGAGCTACAACTGTTGAGGTGAAGCTGGCATCCGGTTGACAATTGTAGTTATCCAGCCTTTCCAATCATATCGTAATCTACTTCCAATAGGAGACAACAGGGAATGGTTCCCTTCGTAGTCTTAAGTAGTGTTCGTTCCTCGCCGGAGCTCTTGCAGCAATGCAGTCAAATGCTGCCTGGTCTTCTTTGCTGCAGAGCTCCATCGGACAAGACGAGACTTTCTTCGAGCATTACGTAGTTTCCCGCAAATTGACACATTCTGCGTGCTTTCTAGACGTGCTCTCGGCAACTGGTACACTGCGGGTTTTGAAATATGCTTGATTTTTCTATCCATACCGTTGACTAATCAGAGCCAACTACCAGCCTGTTCCTTCGACCAGTCATGTGCGAGTTATGCCTAGTCCACAAGGTCCACCTCCATGTGGTAGGGCAGCGCGGCTATAAGATTTTATCCAACACCCTTCGGTTTGTATATCACGTAGAAAGGTCTACAGCAAACTCAGACTTATTTCCTATATCACACTGGGTGGATTATCAAATTGTCATGATTTTGTTAGTTAAACGTAAGCTAAAATGAAAAGTGATAGGATCAGGCGATGAGATGGCTCGGTGGAAGCTCCATGGTTCGAATCCGACCTCTGCCTCTCGACTTCCCCTGTCTAGGTTTGGGTAACCTGGCAGTATCCCATCCCTCGTGCTTCCTTCTGGTGGTATGGCAGTTAGGCACCGAATGGACGCTACAGCTGAACGTTTAACTTAACAATTTTCGCTGCTGAGCGGTAGCGCAGCTGAATTGTTTGTACAGTGGAAATTTTCCTCGCTTTGGAGTTACCGAGATTCTTGGTTCATACAATATGCCCTTGACGTATGTGAACTATAGGGACAAAGCTTATCTAGTTAGAGGGCCGAAAAACTAAGTCGTTCTAACGGTATCCAAACAGGATTCATATAGCTGCGAATCGGAGTAGCTGCTCGCTTCCATCCATCATCAGCGAGAGTAACTTCCTTTAGCGACAGCCGCCGTCTCGCGCTCGTTGGAGTCTCGACTTCTCCGTCAACTCTAGTTTCAGGTGAACATGTTTGCGGAATGTCCACATAACAAGAGTGGTCAATACACTCCCGAGCAATAGCTCTCACTCCGTTTTTGTTGCTCATGTTCTACTGTTTCTGAAGTTTGAATGCCAAATCTCCCTGGATATTGAGCTCAGCTCTTCTCCTAAGCGATCTATGATCTCTTCATTGATCGAGCCATCGAAACTGTATTTTTCATGCCTACTCTAAGAAACCAAGTGGAGAACAATTTGAGCATTCCCTTTACCTATGTATTCTCCATCTGTCCTGTGATCCTTTCATTCGTACCCTTTGACACTTTCTAAGGTTTTCTCAAACTGCGCGTTTCTCTGCAGTCCACTAGTTGGACAGTGGCGCGTGTCCTATGCCTGGGTTTTCGTGGTGCCCGGTACCCATAGTTGTCCGAATCAAGCTTTTTTCACTCGGCTGCTGTCTCAGTTTACCAAGTGGTTTGCCCATCCGTTGATTTAAGTTCGTCGCACTCACAACGAAAGGTTCCCTGTAGGTCACTTAGTCTCTGTTAAGGGTGTATCTTCCCGGTGTTCGTTTCGCTTCCCTCTTCTGCCATGTCTTACGAATGCCTATTGGGCACAAACGAATATGTACAACTATCTCCCAAGTGGTCATTTCGCCAAAAAATGAATCATCTAGCTTGACTGTCTGGCATGTGCGTGGCTGTCGAGCACACTTAAGAGTCGACAGGTTTTTCGACCAGTCGAGAAATTAAAACCTGATTCTGCATCAGGAGAAACTCGAGCCTGAATCCTCTCATTCCCACGAGCTCTCATCTGACTTTGTATAAAGGGGACTAATTCTTTTGCCCCAGTAGACTCATACCGCCGTTTTGATTCACAAAATCTGGTGTGGCCCCACTCCATTCTGTCCACCTTCTTCGGTGCACTGTCGATATTCGGCCGTCTACTTGATAAAATTTTCCGAATTTTTTCCAGTTTCGCTGCATTTTCCGCCGGTCATCGTGCGGACTCAGCCGGTGATCGTTGTGGCACTCCCACAGGACAAACCGCAACATTACAGTGAGTTTTAGCCCATTGCTGTTTTTCTGACTACTTACGTATCCTTTGGAGCAGCCAATCCTGCACGGAACCACGAGAATTTCGGTGGCACAAAGCAATCTATTTGTCCTGTGTGTAAATTCTTCCCACGCTTCAGTGAAAATGGTTGATGCAGACGGAGTAAAATGACTCTTGTGTCATGTTGCTTTCACACATTGACAGCTTTTCTTTTGTTCTGAGAAATAAACAAGAAATGTGCTCTATTTTGCTTCATAAAACAGAAATTCAGTTCTTATTACCCAGTACAGTTTTTTAAAATTTTTAATCAATTCTTTGGATGGTAGACGAATGCCGGATTCGTGTGTAAAGACGTTCGTTATTCCAAGGCTTGAGTCTTCTCAGGTGCGACGCTTCAGTACTTACGTTCACGGGTACCGGAGACTTTTGGTTCTTGTCAAGCCAGGGAAGGCTGTCTTCCTCAATTTCTCTGTTGCTCGAATGATCGTTGAAGTCTCTTTTCTCCGTGACGAGCAGCTGTGAGGTTTCACTGAATTGTGGGACCGCTTGATTTCCCCCGAGACCGTTTTATATAGTTCACTTGGGCGAACAAAATTGGGCTGGACTTGTCTGTGGTTTCAATTCACTTTCAGCCTATTTTGGCAGAACCGCTCTACTTTTTCATCAACAGTGGTTTATATTGGCTCTTGGCCTCAAACTGTCAGATAGCGCACGATTTGGAATGATGGGAAAGCTGAGTGTTGAAGCAAGAACATTGAGCTGGACCACTTTCAGGGTCTATAACCCTAATGCCAGGAGTTGTTTTGTCTTTTTTATCTGGTTACCTCCAGGACTCTTTTTCCAGTCCAACTTTGCTGGTCTCTGCCGCGGTATTCTTAAGGTCTGACTTATCAGTCGAAGGGGCGAGATTGCTCGACGGTTAGCGCGTGAATTTACTGACCGGAAGGTCGTGGTTCGAACCCGACATCTGCCTCTCGATTTTCACTATCTAGGCTTGAGTAACCTTGAGATATCCCAGCCCTCGTGATTTCTTCTGTTGGCATGACAGTTAGGCACCGAAAGGATGCTACAGCTGAATGGACTCCGATCAGTCGAAGCTGATGGAGACTAGTCACGTGATGGAATTTCGTTTCAGACGTGTGACCTTACTTTTACACGGCCTGTGTTTTGCCCCCACGAAAACTGCGAACTACTTCTTAGGCAAGGATGATCTGATGAATCCAGCGGTTGCCCGCATAGCGTCACTATTATGTTTGATGCACTGTACACCACTTCTTTAGGGCACCGTTAATCTCTCACTCAGTTGACTGATTCCTCCCTCTGTTTCCAAAACGTTCCTGTATCGTTGGTTATCTGTGTGGTATGTTGAAACTGTTCTACTCTGATCATTCGAATTTCCATCACCCACAGAAATTCTGTCTCCCATTCATGGGTGACATTATCGCACAAATACACGGGATCACCCATCTATGGCTGGTGTCAAGGTCTCAATCCTTCTGATACTCCGACACTGGTCAGGGCGAAAACAAGTCCTGACACGTGTTTTTCCGGTGTCCCTATGCCCGTGCAATGCCGTATGGTTGGTGGACTGCACCGTCGCCAACTCGAGGTGAGTTACACCCCGCGCTGATTACTTGCGCACACAGGCTTTGACGTTCAAGGCCATGTTTCCCATAACTTTGATTGTACGCTGCTATGCAATTCCATCCAGAACTTCGTGGATACCGGCTCGGTTGCTTGATTTATATCTATCCTCTGTAGAGTACTGGATGTACACTTATTATTTTTATTCAGATATTGTCATAAAACGCTGTTTGCTACTGTGGAGGATGTTCGGGCAATGAATAAATCAGTGACTTTAAAATACCAGTAACATGTCAGTACACCTAAGTAGGTAAAGTGCATCTGTGGTGTACTTGAACAAGCCAACATATTCGGCCTGTTCTNTGGAGGATGTCGGGCAATGAATAAATCAGTGACTTTAAAATACCAGTAACATGTCAGTACACCTAAGTAGGTAAAGTGCATCTGTGGTGTACTTGAACAAGCCAACATATTCGGCCTGTTCTACACACAAAAACGACATTGCGTCATTGCCTGGGACCCGCGGGACTGTGTACATCTCTAGACCACCCTGTTTGAACCCAGGAATATGGAGTGAAACACGAGTATATCGAACTCGCATCCTATTCAGTTCAGAAAGCCTTCACATCTAGAGAACGTGATCAAGTTAAGCTCGTCATTCATTGGTCGAAATCCCAGGGGTAACTCTCATAAAGTTAGAGGAATGACTCGGCTAGTCTAGAGTCGCATTTCAGCGTCATTCCTCTGTGGAGTTAAGCCCTCCTTCTTCCGTATCCCCCCTTACTTTGGGATCTTTCACAAGATGTTCGTTGGTCCATCGCCTGAAGAAAACGCGAATGTTTTTAATCTCTTTTCACAGATTGCTGCAGCTCTGGTCGTTCCCATATCCACTGCGAGTCCGCAACATGTAAGTGTCGAAGAGTTTTCAGCAACCTTGTGAGTAGTTTCCTTTATAAGTGGAAGTCTTCTTTCGTTCTGTACATGATAGGACATTTACCTTCGCCATTTCAGAACAGTGGTATTCCTATTTCTAGACGGGATGACAAACGTCCAAGCTGTTACGTTCATAGAAATCGATTAAAAGGGACTCACGGGGTGTCAGACTATAGAACGTAGCTATGAGATTCTATCGTGGTCCCAACAACAGTGTTCACTGCTCTTCGGATGCTTGGTTGATGATGTATGTGTGCTTGTGATTGTCCCACCATTTCGGACGCTTCATCGCATCGGTTGTTTCAACTGTAGTGCCTACTGAAACATGTCATTCTTCCTGACTGGATCCCCAAGGTATTTGACTGTAATTCCATGGAGGCACAACAGACTGGGAGGTGTGGTCGCGCACAGATGGACTCGAACAGTTTGTTTGTGTCTTGTGTTTGTGACTAGAAGAACCTACTCTCACTACCCACATTACGTTGGAGGCGAAAGTCCTACGTGCGGGGGTCATCTATCCAAGGAATATGGGGGTTCTCGCAAGTTGCCATCTTGATTTGCAGGAAAGGACGTGTTTTCGTGATTGTTTTGTTTTCCCCAAAGTTACATTCCCAGATGACGGTGCTTTACACGCGTTGTCCGAATCATGGACGCTACGTTAATGCAAACTGGCATTATGAATCGGCTGGATGAGGAGCACTTGTAATGGAGATGCAGTGACGTGGCGTAATTCGAGGCAGTAGAACATGTTTGAACAAAGCGACTTTGATCCATCTTTCCAAACTCTCTTGTTATCCTCCCCGTGGTTTGTTTATTGGGCGCACTGGAATTCCCTGCATGCCCACAACCTACTTCAGTCGCGGCCGATTTGGAATTCGGTGAACTGATTCGCGCGCATGTACCAGAAAGAATTCGGCCTTAACACGGGGGCGAGGTGGCCCAAGTGGTTAGAACGCGAATTTACTGACCAGAAGGTCCGCGGTTCAAATCCGACCTCTGCCTCTCGACTTCCCCTGCCTAGGCTTGGGCAACCTGGCAGTATCCTAGCCCTCGTGCCACTCCTTCGGGTGGCATGGGAGCTAGGCACCGAAAGGGCGTTACAGCTGAACACTTCTTCTTCGAACTGATTCGCATTCCATTTGAACGGATACATTTATCCATGTTTGACTCTTATGCGACAAAGTTTTCAACGGATCGTTTATGTTCGCGAATTCGCCGCTCCATGTATCAAAACACAATCTTGACCGTTGCAGATTCTGTGTCTCTAAACTCGTTCTTGTTGATAAAAAAAATTGTCAACGGATTGTGATTTACCAGCTGGAATCGATGCACATCCCGTTCAATTTGCCTCAGTATTGTACTCTAATTAAAATGCTTCAGGCAGTTTGAATGGTGTAGAAAGTTAGACGAGTTAAAACAATTCAAATTTATGCTTTCACACAGCCCATAGAGCCGATGCGTCAAAGAGTAGAGTTGGTGTCGGCCAATGGGTAACGAGGCGAGTAGAAATCGAGTTTTCGGTTGTACAACGGGTACTCCCATTGAAGAATGCCTCCAGCACCAGAAGCTGTGTGTTGGTTAGACCGTGTAATCCGTTTGCTCAACAGTCGTTTGCCGAAGAGAGTGCTGTTTTCCATGCCCAACTCAGAGTGGCGGAAGCAGACAGGTGGCCAACCCTTGACTTGGCAGGGAGGTATGAA